TATATATATATAGAGAGAGAGAGAGAGAGAGAGAGAGAGATCTACATAACAGGATTTGAGGCAGTATCTAATGTTTTGGGTCAGTGCTTCAGCTCTGATGTGTAATATTTTACGTCTTGAGATGTCTTAGCCTCTTTCTTGAGGCTCAATCCCAGCTGACAGTGTGGAGTGTGGCTTTCCCTCCTGAGAAGTTCACACATGCTTCTTGGGAGTTACAGGCAGGGCAACACTGACCTGTCATCTTGCTTCAAAGATTACACATCTGCATCTCAGTTAGACCTATTTTCATGCTTAAAGCCAACTAGGGGGATAATGAAAAGTCCTAGCCAGCTCTGTACATAGTAATACATGGAAACAGGGTCAGGCTTAGCCAAATTGGAGACAAAATGCTCTTCTTTCAAGGAGTTGTCCAAGTGGTCCTCCACAATATTTAAAGTAGAAAGAAGTCTCATCACTTTCAGTTTATGGACCAACTACTGATGACAGGTCTATTCCTTCCCATCTTGATAAATGTATATAAATAAAAACATGTAAAAAATAAATTTATCTTTTATATCATGCTTTTTTACTTAGTATCATATCATGGCATTTTCCTATATCATTAAGTACTCTAAAAATAGAATATACATTGCTAGTTAGTATTTTTCATATAACTGTAGCATTTAATTGTTTTCCTCTTAATTATTCTAAATAATTTGATGAATGTTTTGTGAATAAATTTCATTCTTTTTAGTGTCAATTATGATAAGTCATAGTATTAGGTCAAACATTGTCGAATTGCTTCCTAGAAAAGTTTACTACTATCAGATTTTCTCCTAGTGGTATTTATCACACTATTGCCAATTTAAGAAATGAGTATTGGTATATTTTTGTTGTTATAATGTGTACCCTTTCTGTTCCTAGTGAGGATGAACATATTTCACATGCTCATTGAACTGTAGTATTGATTCTTGCAAATGTTCTTGATCCTTTATCTGTTTTTTGAGGATATCCATATTGTTTTGGAAAATATTGTCACATTTCTTGTGCATATTGGTTTATAAAGCTTCTGACTATGCTGATATTTTAATTCTACCAAAGTTTACACTTTGTGCAGTTCAATCTTTACCTTACAGTTAATTTTTTTCTTTTTTATTTAGTACAATTAAGTGTTCCTATATTTTCTTCTATTTTATATCGTTTCATTGTTTACACTTAATTTTGTTCAGCCAGCAAAACAGACAAATAAGAAACACATTGATGTAAATTACTGGAGTAAAATATATTTTCACTTTTCAGAATCTAATTTGTCATATCTTCGGTATTTATTATGACCTCCCATTTAGAAGTATTTTAGCTCTGTCTTCTTCAACCCAGATTGTTTCAGTCACTGCTATATTTAATACACCTTGTATTTTAAGGACTGAAAACTATAAACTGAAAGCTGTAGTGTTCCTGTTCTAATCCTGTCCTGGGTAGAAAATATTTTAAGACCATCAGGATAGAACTTGGCTTCATGCATGTCACCATTATCCTAGTGGCTAATGTCCTTGCAGTAACTCCGGTACCACATCCCCACCCTGTTGTAGATTTCTCCTAATGTCTGCCTTATTAGCTTAATCCAAATGTTTGCTTCAGTTTCTTCCTTAGTACTCTTTTCCTAATGCAACTGAATTTCTGCCCTTGAAGCTCACTAGTCCTTGGAATAGTTTTCTTCCAGGAAGCTGGGTTTAACGTTTGGCAAGGGACCTATCTTTTGGTAAACTAACACTGTTTCCTGTTGCTCGATCTGACACCTTTTTTCCTTGGATTTTTTCCCCTGGCTCTTTTACCAAACCAGGTCTCTCTGATTATCAAAATTTGCTGAAGCCAATCCTAAATTCTCAGTGTTTTAAATATTATATCCTTAATCTTGTTGACTCATGGATGACACACTGCTGATATCAGATAGTAATGCAAATTACTATTTCAATCCACCCATAGAAAATCTGCAGTTTGATTAGGCTAAAATGTTTTGGGAATTGTACCAAGAGACCCCTTCAGTGCCTTTATTATTATGTTTAAAAGCTGGCTTAGATGTACAGTGCACTATATATAATGCTCTGATAATTACCTTTTAGGAAAGCAAAGATCTTAAGATAAAGGCAGCAAAATAGGAACTTCCAGATTGCTGTACTGAACCTCTCTTCCTATGCACCCTCTGCTATATTTATTTTAGCCAGAATTACAGAAATAGCACATCATTATTATCTTTTAGAGAGCCTGGCAACCAGAGATGTTGATATATAATGAAGGGAATTCTGGAGTCTCCTTTTATTGGTAACTTTCCACTGTCAATTAACTTTGCTTAGGGAAAGTTGCTCAATGAAGTCTTCACTTTTTAAAATTTTTTATGTATTTATTTATTTTTGGTACCAGGTATCAAACTCAGGACCTTGCACTTGCCAGAGAGGCAATTGTGCCACTGAGCTATCTCCCTGGCCCAAGTGTTCACTTTTTTGAAGGTCTTTTGGGCTTCTTTGATCATCCTCATCTGAAGATGAAGCAGGGAATCCTTGCTCCCTTTTGGGCTCTTATAGAATTCATGATATACTGTGTCCATTTGTCATTGATCACAGGTTATCTAGTATCGTTAACTTTTGGTGTCTGTTCCTTTTTTGGCCTGACAAGGCTGAGGTGTGTCCTGTGTCACTCAGTGCCTACTTTAGTGACCTTGACTAGTTCTCAAGCCAAGTGCCTTAAGACTTGTTTCCCCAGCAGCCCATGTCCTTACTCCCTACTCCTTTTGCTTCTATGTTTTGCTTGAGAAGAACACGTTGCTCTCTGTGGAGAAGATGACTGGCATGGAGAATTAGAGGTCTGAGAAACCCAGCCTTGTGTGACCTTGAACTGAGGCCCTAGGGGTGGGATAGGTTAGGGTGAGCATCCCCAGCCCTCCTCAGTTTGTCTGAAAGAACCACACTGGCAGCAGTCTGCTCTCATTTCACCCAACCAGGATTTAGCAAGTACTGTTCAAGCACAGTTTTCACTGGAGGAATTGGAAAATAGAGTTGGCCCTTAACAATCTGTATTCAATCTGTTAGCAGCTAAAAACAAACGTTAGTGGTTATAGTTACCATCGTTTTCTCTCCAGGCTTGGACCAGATTCCAGGTATTACAGGAGATGGTCCATTTTATTTTTCTTTGCCCTGTGAAGTCCCCGGCCCTGTTTCAAGAAGATTTGGAGGTCAACTGTGTGATAAAGTTTCTCCTCCTACATCAGTTCAGGACTCTTTTTACAGTTAGTTCACTTGAACTTTGCTGTCCAGAGTTAGAAAGACCTTGCTGAGGTGTGGCTGCCTCTAAGAACACTGTTGAATTGGTGCCATGGTAACGTTTGCAAAGTAGCTACTGCTAGGATACAGCTCTGCCACTTATTACTTTATTTGCATATGAAACCACCTGTTCCAAAGATGAAAATATACATGACTGCATATTCCAGTCCAGATTAAAGGGTGGTAGCTGCCAGTTTAAATTGAGCATATTAGGATTTTTCTTTATGTGGCTGTAAGAACCAAGTCTGAGGCTCTCTTTCCAGCACTCTTCTTGGCCCAGAGTAGTGCAGGCATGGTGTGTGGACAAGATCTGGTGGGACTGTGGCCTGTGTAGATGCGAGAGCTTCTCCTAGGGGGATGACTTGACTTATTGAGAAACAAGTCGAACTAATAGGTCGACAGGTCCTGAAGAGGGGGGAGCTCTTAGTTCTTTCCACATCTGAGTTTTTGACGTTGGCAACTTCTTGCCCCCAGAAGTTCCCTGGAGAATGCTTGCTGTTGGAGTGTATATGATTTGCTTTAGTTTTACTCCTGGACCAGTGGTTTCCTTTGCTCTGTGGTGGATGTAAGAACAGCTTCTCTGGCTGCATTCTTTTCTTGTGCCTCCCTTCATCCCTCACCATTTCCTAAACACCAGTAGTGCTGATAGTTGCCATTCATTGTCTGTCTTTCTTTCTTTCTTTCTTTCTTTCTTTCTTTCTTTCTTTCTTTCTTTCTTTCTTTCTTTCTTTCTTTCTTTCATACTGGGGCTTGAAGCTAGAACCTTTGGACTGAATTGCCTCCCTCCCCTATTTTATTTTGAGACAGGATCTTGGTAAATTGCTAAATTGCCTGGCTGGGCTCAAATTTGTGATCTTCCTGCCTCAGCTTCCCCAAGTGCTAAGATTACAGGCATGCTCCGTGAAGTCCAGCTTACCATGCTTACTCTAGATCATTCCTTCATTCCTCATCCTCAGGCAGCTTGAAGGAGTGAGTGGTGATTGATATTGTATATTTCTATTAGTGACTACCAACAGTTCTTGAGCATATTTACTCTTAAAAGTAACCCCCAGGAGTAATGAGCCCCGGGAAGGCACCTTCTGCCTTCCTGCAGTGCAGCTGCCCTCGCCTTGCCTCCATTGCCAGACTTCAACAGCCACTATGGCAACTGCCCTCCCTTGTTGGGGGCTCCTGCTGGGCTTTGTGCTTAATTTTGGTCCCTGTGCTCTCTGAGGGCTTCAGGGGTACTCATTAACTCATCAGCTGGTAGTTTAGCATGTTCACCTTCCTTCATGCTGTCTTTGTTTCTTGTTCTGTCACCTCTCTTCTTCACTCTGTGCCCCTGTATCTCACCCCACAAAGAACTGCTAGCGTGGAGAGTTGAAATGATAACAAAGGCTGGTGAGGCTGGGGGTGTGGGGTGGGTGGGGTGGGGAAGGAACCCTTCTACACTACTGATGGAAATGCAAATTAGTTCCACTACCATTATGGAAATCACTGTGGAGTTCAAAAAACAGAACCGTTTCTCAAAACAGTTTCTCAAAAAACTGAAACTAGAAATTCCATTTGACTCAGCTATCCTTCCTCTAGGAATCTTTCCAAAAGAGTTAAAGACATCATATTATAGTGATACATGCATATCTGTGTGTATAGCTGCATCGTTCATAATAGCTAAGGCTTGGAAGTGGCCTATGTGTATAACAGCAGGTAGGTGAATAAGTAAAATGTATTTATACCCATTTGAGGCCTACTGCTCTGCCATAAAGATAAAGTTGACTCATTTATAGGTAAATGGGTACATCTGGGGACCATAATGTTGTGAAACAAATCTGACACACAAGCTTAAATGTCACATGCTTTCTCTTCTATGAGCAACCCAAAGCATAAATAAAGAGAACAATGCAAATTAGATAATGAGAAGTAAGGAGATAGAGCCCTTTCAAAGGGGAAGGGGATAAAGAGATGGAGGAAGAGTAGAGGGAAGGGATAGGGGAATGGAAAAAGGAATGAAGATGTGTTGTGTACGTGTACCTCCTCCACACAAGGAATGAGGAATGTAAACATTTGTGCTGTTAGGACTGGGTTCAGAGATGACTGAGGGAGAAGGGAGGGAAGGGAAAGATGAGGAAGAAAGGAGCCACGATGCAGCATTGTGTTCATGCACCAACTCCCACAGGAATGTAAACATGTACTGCAAACTTGTACTAAAAAGAAGAAAAAGAAAAAAGGATGGTGGTTAAGAAGTTAAAAGAAATCGAGATATTTCTTTAAATAGTATTACTGTAAGCTGTCCTGCCCAGGCATGGTCGTGTGTACCTATGATTCCAGCACACTGGGACTGAGATAGGAGGATTACAAGTTTGAGCCTAGCTGGAACAATTCAGCAATTTAATGAGGTTCTGTCTCCAGAAAGAATTTTTTTTTTTTTTTTTTTAAAGATGAGGGATGTAGCACAGTGTGAAGGCTCTGGGCTAAATTCCCAGTACGTGAAAAATGCACAAACCAAACAACCCTCTTTAGATAGCATTGCAGGAAACAACTGGCTATCTGACGGATTCCAGTGAGGGTAGGAAAAGACAGAACATGACTTCATATTCTGTAGCATTGCCCAAGGTTTATTGTGCACCTTCACTGGGGTGGGCACTTAGTAAAAGGTGCAGTAACAAAAGGTTAAACCTTACATCAAGAAATGAGAAAAATGAACCCCAGTACACTCTCCTTTAAACCAATTGCATTTTGGGTGTATATTTTGTTTTTTGAGACAGAGTCTTGATGTTTGGTTCAGGCTGGTCTTGAACTTGCTATGTAACCCAGGTCAGCCTTGAACTCACAAACTTCCCACCTTAGCCTCTTGAGTTCTGGATTTTAGGATGATTGTAGGGATAAGCAACTCAAGTAGCCAAAACTAAAAAAAAAGTAATCATTGCATGATAATTGTCCATAATTATGGGGCAAAATCTGCTATTTCAGTATACATGCACATTGTATAATAATCAGATCAAGGTAAGTGGGATAACCATGACCTCAAACATTTAAAATTTATTTGGGTTGGGAATATTCAAAATCCCCATTACTATCCCCCCATGCAGTGCCAGCTATTGAACATAGGGCCTTCACACTGAGCTACATCTCAGCTTTAAACAAAATGTTTTGAGAAAGGTTTTCATCGAGTTTTCCAGGCTAGGCTCCAATTTGTGATCTTCCTGCCTCAGCCTTCTAGAGTGCTGGAATTACAGACATGTACCACCAGTAACTATTTTGAAAAACACAGCTGCCATTAACCATAGTTACTCTACTGTAGAACCTCAGAAATTACTTCTTCCAGACACTTATACTTGTTTATGACCTCACTATTCTTTATCCTCCAGTGCCCTTCCCAGACTTTGGTAAGTACGATTTTAATCTCTACTCCCACAAAATCAACCACGTAAGCTTCTGCTTATGCAAGAATATATATTTATCTTCTGGGGCTTAACTTTACTTCACTTAGCATAGTATCCTCTGGTCCCATACATGTTGCTGCAAATAATAGGATTTCATTCTTTTTAAAGGCTGAATAATATGCCACTGTGTAATAAATCATACCCCATTGTGTCTCTCCATTGTCCCTTGGAAGACATCTATGTTGATGTTATACCTTCACTATTGTACATAGTGCTGAAAGTAAACTTGTGAATGAAGATGTCGCTGACGTGCTAATTTAATTTCCTTTGGGTGTGCACCCAGTAGCAGCATTGATGGACATTTTATTTGTTGTTTTGTTTTGGGAATTGAACTCAGGACCTTGTGCGTGCCAGCAGTATCCCTGGCCCCACATTGCTGGACCTTTTGGTGGTTCTATTTCAAAGTTTTCACGAAACCTACATATTGCTTTCTCTGATTATTATTTTACATTCCAGCCATCAAGAGGGTTCCCTGTTCTCCATATCCCTGCCAACATATGTTATTTTTTTCTCTTTAATAGTAACCATTCTGGGGCTGGTGAGATGGCTCAGTGGTCTAAAGCACCTACTTAGAACAAGCTTAGCAAAGCCCAGGGACCCGGTTCAATCCCCCAGCACCACATGCCAGCCAGCCCCGCCCCCTGGTGGGCTGAGCTGGCCACACACACATAAATAAATAAATAAAATTAAAAAAAAAAATAGTAACCATTCTAACTAGAGTGAGATGACTGTGATTCATCGTGGTTTGAATTTTCTGGTTGATTAGTGATGTTAAGCATTTTTGTATGTGCTTGTTGGCTGTTTGTATTTCTTTCTTGAAGGATTTTTTTTTTTTTTGTCCTCTTAGGATGTGTTACGGACAGGTCTGGTAAGGCATGAGGATCTGGGATTGAACCACAGAATTCTGAGCCTGTTTCGCTTAAGCAGGAACTTAAACAAGTGAGCTACTGGGCAGGCCCCCTGTATTTCTTTCTTGAGATGTCTGTATTTGTACATCTTCTAAATATAAGATGGGCAAATATATTTGCTCATCTAAAAATTGGGTAACTATTACTGGTCTTTGTAATCCAGTTCAGTTTCTTATATAGTCTGGATATTTGTCTCTTGTCAGATAAGTAGTTTACAAATATATTCTCCTGTTCTACAGGTTGCCTTTTGCCCACGTTTGCTTTCATTGCCTGTGTATGCAGGGTCATATCCAGAAATCTTTGCTCAGATCAATATCTTGAAGCATTTCCCCTAGCTTTTCTTTCAGAGCTTACATAGTTTAGGATCTTACATTTAAGTATTTGATCCATTTTGAGTTTATTTTTGTACATAGTTGCCACATTTTATAAAGGTTTTCTCTCAGTTGCAGGAAGACTTTAAAGAGGGTCGACTCTGCAAAGTTCTTGTTAGGTTGAGCAGAATAACTTTCAAAACTGAATTTTTTCATTGCACAAGGGACAAAGAGCTTTGATCACAGTTCCTGTTCATAGATTTCACTGTGAAAATAGCAACAGAAAAGCATATGGCTTCTGAAAGAGACTCCTTTCTTTTGTCTTCTTTTACTAAGCTGTGTTTCATTTTTGTTCAGGTGACTTATGATGTGTATTGTTGATATAAAACTATTCAATGATAATAAAGATACACAAAGACAAAATTCTCCTGAAATATATCTACAATTTAAAAAAAAAATGTCTGAAATGGGGGAAAAGGGGAAAGGATGAAGGCAAGGAGAAAGGAAAAAAAGTGTGTGTGTGTGCGCGCACACAAACAAGATAAGATAGATACACTACTTCTTTTTCCTGTATTTTAGGGGACGGTCTATAGGGTGTTCAGGGTCTCACTACTAGATCGGACTCCTAGTGATCCGCCTGTTTACAGCCTCCCAAGAGCTGGGATTGCAGGTGGTTGCCACCATGCCCAGTCTCAATTGTGGGCCGGCATGGCAGGCTGAGGGCTCACACCCCCACCCCCCTGCACCTGCTTGCAGGCGCTTTAACCTGCTGAGCTATTTGGCCAGCCCAGGATAGATATACTACTAATTGCTGTTAGCTCACTGAAAGGATAGGTAAAGGCCTATATTGTTGATTGGTTTTTCATGCCTATATCTTGTATTATAAGCAACTACTTTGAAGATAAGAGTACACAATGTACTGGACATTCTTACTATCTTACAGTCTTGTTTTGAATTTTATACTGTTGATTTATTTGTTTTTCATTTTAAAATTAAAAAATGTTACTGAATTTAACACTTCAGTAAATTATTAATTGGTGTTCTGCACCCACAATTTGAGATCTATCCAAAGTAGTTTGTGTGTTGCTAGTTTACAGCATATAGGGAATCTTTTTCTGATGGAAGGAAGTAAAATAATTTATATTTTATTGCTAGAATTTTTAACTTTTACTTGAACATGCTGTGTTTAATTACATACTTTGTTGTGGTTTGCTTAACACTCTGAATAATAATGCCCAGATTTATGTATCAGTAACAAACTACCTAAAAATGGCACTGAATTTAAGAAGGAAGCATGAAATGAGGAAGGTGAGCAGGTTTAATATATTTGAAGGAACTCGCTAGGTAAGGAGATGAGAAAGATAGGAGGTGTTGGGGTTGAGGAAAGAGAAGGAAGCAAAGCAGGGATCTTCTAGTTTGGGGTTATAAGACGCATGGCCACAGGGTGGCAGCACAGTCTCAACAGCAGGGGATGGCCTGTTAGAGCCCTACTTCTGCCTTTCAAAATTCCTTCTGGTTGATACCTTCTATTATCCTAGGAAACAATGGCAAAAGTTTAAAATTAAAGGTGACTCCTAAAATTTAGGGTAAGCAAAAGGTGAAGGCATCATCTTTATTTTTGTATAG